TATACCATAAATGGGATGGCCTTAACAAACAGGAGTTTATTCTCTTACAGTTTGGAGGCTTTAAGTCCAAGTTCAAAGTGCCAGGCTCTAGGGGCTGCGTGAAAGTTCCTCAAACTTGAGGTCCAGCTCTGCCTCCTGCTCTCATCCCACTGGAGCTAGAGGAGTTTCTTCACTCAGCAGCTGCTAGCTGCTGAGAATGACAAACCCAAGGTTGACAAATAAAAAGGCACAGTCCCAATGTTACCAAACCACATGGTAGGCCATTAATTTAAGTCCACTGTAAATCCCAAGTTCAGCAGAGTATGGCAGGCTGCTGAACAATGACATGGCTACATGCAAGGTCTAAGCATGCCATAAGCTAGAGACCATTCCCAAAGCTGTTTCTTATATACAGGAAGTAGTCCACAGCCCTAAAGCAGCTACTCAGCTGCTTGTAGATCACACCATGGAGTTGATTGCCAGTCTCATCATGGGAAGTAATTACCACCAGCTGCCCAGCCACTCAATCAGGCCCAACCAAGTTGACATACAACTTTAACTACCACAGTCAATAAAAGACAAGTCAACATCTTTCTGGTATTCTTTGCTTTCAGCCAAGATCCATCTGACATAAGCAATAATATTATTGCTCCTCATTCCACATCCTCTTCTGAATCCAGCTTGCATTTCTGGAAGTTCCCTGTCAGTATGTTGCTGTAACCATTTTTTAGTTATCTTCAGCAAAATTTTACTTCTTTGTGATGTCAATGATGTTGTTCTATAAGTACCACATTCTGTGGGATCACCTTTCTTTGGAATGGGTACAAATATGGATCTCTTCCAGTCAGTTGGCCAGGTAGCTGTCTTCCATATTTCATGGCATAGATGAGTAAGTGCCTCCGGTGTGGCATCCATTTGTTGAAATATCTCAGTGGCTATTCTGTCAGTTTCTGAAGCCTTGTTTTTCACCAATTCCTTCAATGCAGCTAAGACTTCTTCTTTCAGTACCATTGGTTCTTGATCATATGCCACATCCTGAAATGGATGAACATCGACCAATTCTTTTTCGTACAGTGAATATGTATTCCTTCCAACTTCTTTTGATTTTTTCCTGCCTCAGGCGATATTTTGCCCACAGAATCTTTCAGTATTGCAACTCAAGGCTTGAAGTTTTTTTTCAGTTCTTTCAGCTTGAGAAATGCCGAGCATGTTCTTCTCTTTTGGTTTGAATTAAAGCAATAAGAAATAGGAAAGAGAGGAGAAGGAAGAAATAGATATTATGGAAATAAATGATGATGGGACTTAGTAAGTAATTGGGTGT